AGATCAAACTACCACTAATGGATTGATAACTCTTCCGGAATGCATTTTATAGGAAAATGCTTTGAATATAAGATCTAGGATTTTTCCTTAGCTAACAGAAGGTGGCCTTGAATCCGTTCTTGACCTGGAAGTTGACCTTCTAAGGATATTCGACACAAAAAGGTGAAAGAGCCCATTCGAAAATTGGAGCAACAATAGCAAAGCATTCCTGTTGCCTCTATCTAAAAGGAGAATTCCTGGAAAGTTGCAATATTTGCCCACCTTACTCGTCCCCATTTTTATGCATAAAAATTTTCTGCATTCTGCTCTATCGCACTATCGATCTAGCTATCCCAAACGCTTTTATAGGATAACGTGCACGGTTTTTCTCTTGTGTTACATGATTCACATAGTACGCTTTGCCATTATTTATTTCCCTTTGCGCGTGGACGTGCGCTTTGTAGAATGGATGGAACGAGCAACGTTCGAAAATGTATGCGTTCACATGAAAATTAAACAGCAGCATCAGTAGCGACCCGACCATCGCTAGGTATTGCTCACATCGATAAAACAGTCTGGTTAAACTTGTTATGTGATTAAACATTATATGCAAACTAGAAATATTAATCTGAGAGTAAAATATGATGGAGTAAACTAGCCTCCAAACTTTTCCATGAGGAAATATGCAATATCTTTATTATACATTTTACCTTAAAGGATTCCAAATGAATTGTTCATTTCAAAAACCGCATAAGTCACACAATTTGAATTTTCTGGAGACAATAGAAACTGTATCATTGATTTTAAACCAGTTTTAAATAACTTTATGTGATGAATACAGTATTTGTGCTTTAAAGTTCTGAACTGTCGAATAACCTACATATTTATTAATAATGATCATATAAGAAGCCCGGACAAGATTTCTTGATTTACATTGTTTTAGCTAGATATTAGGATTAGTGGAATACGACTAAAGCAAAAAAATTCATATTGATCAAAGGTCAAGCGGCAGCTGCAATTTGATGGAAAGATTTTTCAGCGGTTGTACTGTTAGTACCTGGTCGTTCCTATATATTATAGAATCTTCGTATGGCCCCTATTGGACTTTGCTGGTCCCGTATGGATTCAAAGCTCCTCCGTGATAGGAGCTTCTTAGAGGCCATTTAGCGTCGTGCAGGACGTATGTCGTATGGTACACGTAGAACTTATGACGACCGCCTGGAACTCTCCTAACTGACTAGTTTTGTATGCCAGACGACCGCGCGATGATCTCATCATCACTTTTAGAGCACTGTATAATTTATTCGGTCGTACCTAGTTTTATCTGTCATCGAATAGCCTCAGAGGCCATAACTTCCAGTTGCATAGGAAACCTTTAAGAACATCTATCCATCGTATTGCTATTTGCTTCAGAAGTGTTACCATTCTACACTATCAATTATGTGTGTTCGAGTTTATAGAACTTGTGCTGAACCTAACAAATTTTAATTAATTAATGATAATATTTTTATTACTTATTATTGATAATTACACTTGAATATTGATATGTTTTAATTTTGCATGCTTTAATATCCTTAAGGTGCATAAGTGGGACGGTCCCCGTGAAAAAAATGCATAGGCGACCTTCATACTGACTACCAGACAGCTGAATGTATTTTTATCAACAGAAAATTGACTTTACATGATAGGTGTTGTGCGTTTAATTCCACTTTTATACTATACATACGAGCCGCTTTTTAAAATATGTAGCGGATGTTCAAAGGACTTCCTCAGTAATACAAATAAGGATGACGAAGTTGATGTTGTTGGTAGGAAATAAGAAAACTCGTAAATAAATGATTTCTGTATTTGCCCGTAACCTTATTATTTAATTCATTCAAAACTGTTACCTTGGTGCTTTCAGCACATAAGTAGGAAAAGGAAACAAATCAAGGATTCTGATACATTTTTTGAAATGCCTCATTCAAGTACCTGCCGTCGTGTTGTGCATGCAAAACCAACACAAGGTAATCCCCCATGTTTGTCTAACCAATCAATCCTCATGGGTTCAAAATTCTTCCTTATTGTATACGTTTCGGTACGAAAAATACAATAAAGAAGAATCTTAAACATGCGGTTTGATTGGCCAGACCATAAGGGATTCTCGCTATGGAAACCACAAGATAAGTTTCAGATATTACATAAAAACAAGTTACTTGCTTTTGCAATAAACTTGTATTCTTAACAGGTTGACTGTCATGAAAGATCGTAGTAAGTGTCTCTGGTGCCAACTTCAAAAAAAGTGAAGATTCTTGCATCAGATGCTATACTAAGTAATTGATTTTCTTTATATTTCTTTATTAGCATACATGTTGGCCAGAACAAGTCAGCGGTCGTATACCTACGCCCGCCGCGCGGCATAACTGACATAATCATTCCCTTAGTGCCAAGCGGTTATCCTAGCGGTCGTCTTTTGCGAGTTTGAACTTGTAAACTTCGGGTCAGAAACATGAAATAAAAATGCTTTGCAATTAGTTTAGGGATATATCTCACGCATGTTAAAAATTGCATGCGACCGCCATGACATGGTGGGTTTATTTACAGGCGGTCGAATGTGACCACCAAGGCATTCAACCTGTTAATAATAATAAGGAACATAGACAAGTTGATAATGGAACAGCAGCTTGGTATGTCGGAACCCAAGTTGAATACAACATAATTCTCCACAAATTTCATTAAAATTTGTGCAGGCGTTTCTGAAATGACATGGTTACAAGATATACAGACATAAATACCACTGTCATCTTAAACTCACCTTTACTGCAATGCCCTAGATTTTGGTCATAGTCTGAAGATTTTTCATTTAACTATACCCCTACCAAAAGATTGACCTTGTTTCATTCCTGTTCACGATCAAGGACAAACTTAAAGATCCCTACCGTAACTTCTCAACTTTCATATGTTACTTGCTATTGCTTACATAGCTCATCGTAATTTTATTTGCATCAACTTCATCGAATTTATTACCCCTTTTAGCTTCTTAAAAATATATCTCGTAGGCTTCTTCTTATTAGATTTTTTCATTACGAGATCGGAAATGATAAAATTTAGTGTAATCAATTCAAGAAGCATCCATATATGTGTGACGTCCCATTCAGACGCAATGGCAAACCAGAAAGTTGTATACTTCCTTTGTCCTTGCCTACAAATTCGATACTATATTTCACGGCAAACTCTAACAACCGTGCATTTTATACATTTCTTCCGTGACATTGCCAGCAAGACACATTCTATTCTGATTCATCGAATATAGGAGAAACCATCTGTTAGCGGCTCATACTTCGTGACTCTACTCCGAGTAACACCAAACTGAAGGCGAACAAAAGAAATCTTGCTGTCGTCATCTTGTATTCTACTCGAGGCAAACGAGAATTTGATAGAATCAATCGAATATTCCTTGAAGAAGGCAGGAGGGTGTCCGATATTGGATTTATTAAGCTCAAAATAATTACGTGCGATGAGTAATACAGGAAGTGTTATTGAAGTTTAGGTACAGCGTAAGTGATTTTTGAACCTATTACTAAACTGCATGAATTATCTCAATTTTGAAAATTATTGCAACCGCAGTACTTTCCCACTTTATTACTCTGTGGGAAATAACATGTGTCTAAAGCTAAGCTAGAGTCTTAATAATAGTATTAATTTTTCAACATGCTCTGCTTTTGACCATCCGAGCAAGGACAACCACTCATGGGCAGCTGTTTCTTGCTTTTTGGCTGCTCCTCATCACAGTCTAGGCTTGGGTGCACACTATTAAAAGTGAGATCAATCGAAATAAAGACAGCTCGAAGCGTGATCTACCACCAGAATCGACCACTGCGAACATTCTTGCCATTTCCTTCATAAAGTTTTGGACGAACAAGGTTAACCACACGATGAAGATTAATAGGTTCTCACAAAATAAAACTCAATCAACTGCTTACATGTTTTTCACATTTGGGCAATGAATTTATAGAAATAAATTGTTGCTGTGTCACAAGTTGTAGCAGTCATTAGTTATAATCTGCGGGAATAAAAATCAACCGAGCTACATGGTAGGCTCTAAAGAAATTTCTAGGATCTACTGAAGTATAAGGCACCATTTGGCACGGAAAGGGTTTAATTATTTATTTGGAAAGCATGCTGCATGACAGTAAGTGAAAACTAATAAAGATGAGAAACATGAGACATGCTGCCAAAAATAGACTGATTCAAGTCTTTTTCAAATAGGGCCAATTATTTTTATGTTGTTCGAGGTTTTATATACATGCTGAAACTAATTTTTTTGTCAAAAGTAACATCAAGATTTTTTATGTGCGAGAGCCTAGTTAACCTGACGCTATTAATTTCATATTCATATATTATATCATTGTTTCGGTTACCGCAGCTAACGACAAAACACTTATCAGTATTTAGGTTCAGTTTGTTTTGCTGTACCCAGTACGGTGCCCTGGGGCACACCGGAGCTTGCCAAAAATACATTCGACTTATTTCGCTGAGGCAGGAAGCAAAGAAAAAAACTAAAAGATTGCTTTTTGCAAAGCACACCATGATCACGACGGTCAAATGCTTTAGAGAAGTTACATATGACATCTGCTTAGAGTTGTTCGTCTACAGACATACATCAATGAATTGAGTTGATAAAACGAGGTTTGCGACTGTTGGCCGCCCTGTTACAAACCCGCCTGCTCGGGCAAATAATGTTTTGCAGGTTATCGTCCTCAGAATACATTTTGGAAGTCGAAATTGAAAATGGAATTTTTTATGTTTCTTGACAGGTCTATACAAAAGAAGGCTTCCAAGACACATGTCAGTATGCGTAACAGAGGTGAACATGCGATGTATCACCTCCCTATTCGTTTTTCTGTACGTCACGCTCGATCTTTTTGAGAGGGATTAAGATTGATTTGATTTTCCTGCGACGGGACATACTGCTCTGGCTCTACTGTTTGCCCTGTCGACCGGCCAGATTAAGAAAAATTCTCTTGTGGGAATTAGTTTCCATGTTCCCGTATTCCCATAGCACTAAATTGAAATGGAAGTTGGAAGTTTTTGCTCTTATTGGATTAAGGTTGAGCGCAGGTAATCTCTGCGACAAAGTAGAGGCGACAGAAAAGGTATTTTAATAAAAGTTTGTAGACGTAGAGTGGTCAGACGATATTGCAAAGTTGGGCACTCTTTGACACTAGAGGTACACCAAGTATGTTTCTGTTTTGATTGGATAAGATTGGAATCAGGGGTTATGATCTTATAATTTAAATTTAGGCAGCAGCGGTGGCCGCAGTAGTAGACTGTTCGGTCTCCTGATCAGTCGCCGTGCGCTGTGCGGGTTCGAGTCCCGTCCCAGGAGAAATTTTTCTCTTGGCTATGGATGTTGTGATTGTCCGTAGGTGGTAGATGGTCTCTGACTGTCGAACGCGGAGGTACCACCCGGCGGTTCTCGTAGGCGGAGCCAGAATGTGTGCATGTTGCATGCACACGTGTTCCCTCGCCAGAGTCCGTGTGGCGTTCCCCCCTTTGCCATGTATCCCCCATAGCCCCACGGTACCCAATGGGTGCTTAGGCCTTAGGCCTTCGTGGTAGTTGGAATATATAAAAAAAAAATAATCAAACTACATAGCCCTGATACAGGACTTTATTCTGAGTATTCCATACATTAAATGGTATTCAGAACATGTGCGTGAAAGCTAGTACTTGCTTCAAATAGTAAAATGTGCCAAAATGTTTACGTAAGCATGCGAGAAGGGTTAAAGGGCTTGCTTACTTTTGCTGACAAGGGGGAGAGGGTGTTAATAATTAATCGTAACAAAATCTGTTTACGTAATACTTGACCAGCCCCTTGATGCGTATTCAGGTCACGCCACAAAATGACTTTTAAGCCTATTACCCGATTAACTGACTTGGTGGTGACACAACTGTCTATTCACTTGCCAATTTTCTATTAGCACGAAACTCGTAAAATCACCAACACGGAACAGACAGAATTCAATCTCATCATCTTAAAGGCAGGTTTCCTAAAATGTATGTCATATCATTGCAGTTAGGCACACTTCTCTTTCACTGTTGTTGATTCCCCATCCATCGGAGACTTCGGCATCGTCAGTAGGTTGTTTTCCAATTGTGCAACTTATCCTATTTTAGAACGCAGTGTGTATATAGCAGATGTCGACTCATACAATCGAACTACAACAGACATATACAGAGGCGCAACCGGATATTGTACAGGTGCATCTCATGAAAAATCAAACATAAAGAAACATCTACGGAAAATGTGATTTATTATAGCGTTTTCTTTTGGCTAAATTCTTTTGTGTTTAGTAGTAAGAGTGGACCGTACTTTAACTGTATCTTGATATTTTTAATACAGCATATGACATGTTCTAACTGAACAAATAAAATGTGTTTTTTTTCACTGATAATTTTTTACGGAAAATTATGTCACAGATGACACAAAACAAAGACAAAATGATGGGAAACGATTACATTTTATTCAAATTGTTTATGGCTCTTCAATTCGTCCTCCATCATGTGCCAGTTGCAGTAGTGCCATCTTGTAAAATGCAAAACTGGTTGCCTATCGGTCTGACTTAACTCTAGCAAAACTAGTGTTACACTGGTGTATATTTTATGTTCTTTAGACAAAACTAGTGTATGTTCATGTTCTTTTTATCAGTACTTTAAACTAGTTTTGTACCCAGTGAAAAAATATCGCACGCCCTAAAGGAGCTCGCGCTAATGTTCTCAACAGTTTCATATTTAACTTGTTGCTTTATACCATTTCTTCACAGCCAGTTTTCTTACGATTTTTTCTTCCCTTATTCGAAAATCTATCATAACAGCATGAGGAACGTCAACACATTGAAAGAAGAAACACGGAAACTGCACCAGTTTTATCCAAACAATGAATATTTTATCTGCCACGTATGCCTAAACAGGGCACCGCAGCTGCTATGAAGCTTGAAGAAACTTTTTGAACTGTCCAAGGTTAGCAGAACTGGGAAAAGCCTCTTAAGATAGATTGTTCCACGATCTGGATACCCTGGGGACAAATGAGCGGTCGTATCGGCCAGTTCCGGATGTACGAAGTTCAACACGACTACGATGAGGAGGCCGAAATGAAGCGGATCCTTCTGACAGGCAAATCGCGCGGCGAAATCTTGGAGGAGATCCTAAGGAGCAGAGCCCGTTGCCAAAGCGGTACAAGAGAGCTCTAGATCGCCGACGGCGCGTCTTTGCTAAAAGGTCCCAGGAGTATCCGACTAAGAAGAGTCATCGATAAGTCGAACATAAGATAGTTTATGAGTAAGAAGGAGTTATACAGATTTCATTAATAGTTTGCGGGATGCATGTCAAAATCTGAAAATAGCAACCTTTCCTCCCTCCCCCACCGCCGGCCCATCTCCCACAGTCAATGACTTTTAGAATGCTTATGTGGACACCTCAAGGAATAGCCATACCAATTCTCAAAACTATACGAATTATTTGGACTTATTTCCTTGATTTCATCAGACTGACGTTCCTTTGCCGAACATGCAAAAATTATATTGTATTCACTTTTACTAACCAAACATAACCCTGCCTTCAAGTGCTGCCTTAATGAATTTTATATTGTTCACTGAGCTACCCTTATCTTACATCTATGTTAGAAGCCGGCATAATTAATTCAAAAGCACAATAGCATATCAATTTATAGCTGAGCTGAGTTTCTGAACGGGACGTCGGATGCAATATGCAAGAAGGTATACGTTATGAGGCAAAGGTTGCAATATGAGCCCCAGACCCGGATCCCGGAGAGTAGAGTGTTATTAATTTCGAGATATTACCGGGAAGACAGATGGCGTTGTGAATATTAATATCTCCTGCACCCCGGATGTAGAACTACCCTACCATGAAGAAGATGTTATGTGTGGCGTATGCAAATGTGGAAGGATGGGGCAGAGCTGAAAGAGCCTCTATGGAAACAATGTCCCTCAAACGACAACGCTAACGTGTTGGCTGTTTTGTAGTAGTGAGAAAATGATGTGGAGATGCAGAAAAGCTGCGCTGCATTTGAGCGGAAGATTTTCTCTGAAGGAGGCAATTTGCAAGCATATACGTAATTTGATCATTTTGCTTCTTAAGCCAGTATTGCAGCAGGCAGCTGTAACAAAAGGCGTCGCATCTCCAAAATGCTAGTTTCGAATTCATACATTCCTAGTGTCTCGGAGGTTGCATAATTTTTAAAAATTGTCATAATTATGCTCAAACTTAAAATAAACTTATGTTTCTTAGTAATGACATCCGGTTTTATTAAGTATGCGTTGAACCTGGAAAATGAAACAGTAATTAAAACCAATTTGTTTTTAAATAAACCTTAAAGTTGTTATAAACTCGCTTTCAGCATAGAAGGACCCACACTGAAAGCAGTAAATAAAACTAAAGATAAAAACCATAAACATTTATTATGTTTCAAAACTGCTGAGGAGGTACTTTTAAAACTAGTTTAAATGCAATTTAAACACACGCAGTCCAAAAATAAACTTAAAAATGCTGATTAAATCTATACTTTTAAAGATAATTTACCTTATTGTTAACATCTAACAGATAATAGGTCAAGAAATTTTTATACGTATCATATATTGGCAGGTATCAGTAACTATAAAATATATAATAAAAAGCAGATGGTAATTTCGGACTGTCAGGGTAGAAAAATACTTGCGCGCCTTACTTTATCGATAAATGTTAAAAGAAAAGGAATTAAACATCTTTGCGTCTCAAAGTTTTACATTAAAAAGCAACAGATTTTGAAAACGTGAAAAACATCAAGTTGTAAGAAACATAACTTTATCTACAATTTTAAGTTTTTGAATATCAAAATAAATCGCAGTTACGCCTTTAAATCAATAATTTATCACTTTTAAATGAGCCTCATTATTGTTATCCATGTCTTCCAGCGTCTCGAGAAGGCAAAATGTCAGAAATAAGTTCCTTACGTACATTTATGTATATCACAAAGAACAATAAACAAATGCATAGTCTGACACCAAGCATACATCCCTTTTTTATTTTGTGGGCATGTGCAATCGTTCAATCTGGCCCATTTATTTAGTACTTCATTATGAGCTTGTCTTTGAAATTTGCTTTTTCAACATTACTGTCCTCTTTGCTGAAACTTAATTTAATTTCAGCACAAATATTGTTTAATAAAATTCTATTAAGTCTTCAATATCTCCTTCTGTTGCCCCATCATCCCCTTTGAGCCTTTTTGAACCCTCACTGCTTTTCATCACAATGAATCTTCTTTCGAGGCGGTGAACTAGTTTCACAGAGAGAAGGAAGAACCACCACTTCTCTCTTGCAAAGTTTCACACGAAATTTTAAATCCGTGAAATGCGTAAGATATTCAGAAAGTTTCCTACGTTTCTATAGAAAAAAGGGGAGAAAAGTTTCAGGAACACGAGCTGAGGAAGCTTTTGAATAAAGCAGAACAGGCCGCGGTATGATAAATACTGCATTCATTCGCCACCATAAATGCCTTTAATTGAGTTTATACACAGTGTCGTACCGAAAGCTTATTGCAGAATGTGATTCCCCACGAATGAAAAAACGTTTTTAAGGAATATGTTGGAGTTTGTCATTTATTTAACACATATGTTGAAAAAACAGGTTTTAAATTCGTGCAATGGAAAACAACTCACTTCAATCCTACATATCTTCCGACTAAGGAATCAGGCAGTAGAATTTGATTTTCATTCGTTATACGATAAAACCTGTCTATATATTTCGTGTAAAACTATCAACGTCTGAGGGTGATAGTACATAATATATTACATGCCTTGTTTGAAAAGTGGACTCGTAGATTATATGCTCTCCCAAAAATGGCTTCTCGAATTGGTGTGTATAGAATTTTTTCACCACTAACCACCGACTACTAAAAATATAGATCACTTGATTCGTTCATGAAATCAAAAATAAGTCGTTGCGAACATGTAGATGGGCCACAAGGAGTGCTAGATAGCACGTTCGAAACGCGATCCAGTGGCGTAGCATAGGATCGATTTTAGAGGTCGGAGTCGGATGCGACAGTACGAACATTCCATTTTTGACTACCTTTCGGTGACGAATTTAAGTACAAGGACTCAGTCGGCATTTTTCAAGAGTGCCCACTTGTTCGGTACATCTTGTTAATTATCATCATAAATTTTTAGGTTAAGTTGTTTTAGTTGATACAGTAAAACAGAATCATGTAACTTTGAATTCTTGTATTGTTTTTCGTTCAGGCATTGCCGTCAACAATGGCGATTTCTTGAGATAGTCGGGAAAACTTATTTTTCTGACATCTTACTAAAGCTTGATCTCTAAGTATATCTCATATCCCCTAGATAAATGTGTGCGTACACTCATGTCAGGATGGAACGGTAACGAGACGGTTCCACAGAGAAAAGAAATAATCTCAACTATGCCACCACGGTCAGTGCTATACAGAAACACAAGGTTATCCGATTTACCATATTTTTCACGTCTTT